ATTATATCATAGAGAAAATTTATCAAATGTTAGTACTGATGAGGCAGTTGTTAATACAGAAATTATTCCACCATCAATCAAAGAAAAATTAGTACTTTTACAATATGAAAACAAAACGCTTAAATTAAATCAAAAAGGTACTGATGATAAATTACCTACACAAGAATTACTTGAAGATTCTGAAGAAAGACTAAATAATCTTCGAGTACAGAATCGTAAAGCTAATAAAAAAATATTTGAATTAGGTAAGTAATAACTGTATGTTCTTTATATAATTGAATAAAATTATTATTTAATAATTAAATTTGAATATTGTTCAAATTTAAATAGTACTTTGTAGAAATTATTTATAAAAATCATTGTTTTACTAAAAATATAAAAGGACTTTCTACCTACAATGTTTCAAATTTATATAAAACAGAGTAAATTTGTAACGAATTTAATATATCAAAGCCAGCCTATATTTCAAAAATTCTACTTCTATAAATCATAATTTAATTGAGATATCCAGATGTAGTTAATTCATATTATATATAATATTGAAACTCATATGTATAGTTCATAAATAAATTTTTATTAAAAAAATTATTAATATAAATACTAATATAAAATTATACTCACAGAAAATAAACTAGAGGAGGTAACAAATAGTCAAACAACCGAATCAAAAAGTGATCACCAAAAGCTTTTGCAGCTGCAGGATGAATTGCGTAGATTGCAGATCGAATATGAGCGGCTGAGTACACACAGCGAGGAACAAGAGAGTAGCTTGCAGTTGCAAAAGCAAAAAGTCAACAGTCTTCAAGAAAGCCTATTGCGCAAGGAATGCGAACTAACCTCGCTCGAAGAGCGTTATAAAAAGTATGTAGAAAAGGCCAAGAATGTGATTAAGATCCTTGATCCCAAACAACAACAGGGTAGTAGTGCACAATCGCCCGCGGAGATGGTGATGACGCGTGGCAATCCAGACAGCCCGGATAAACGCAAAACCATTGAAGACATACGCTCCTATAAGGAAACGAAAATGATCAAAGAAATGGAGGATAAGCTTATTATGACAGCTTTTTATCACTACGGTTTGATGAGACATCGCGAGGCAATGGACCAAAGACTTGCGGCTCTCAGCTCTGGCCCAGGTCAATCATTCTTAGCGAGGCAAAGACAACCTACATCTAGGAAAACCTATTCTGTTTATAATTCTAAATAACATCTAATAAAATTATATCAATGAAGAAAGAATTATGGTACCCAATGCTTAAACTATATTGAGAGTGTGTTATGGAGTCTAATTACTCTAAAATGATTCGAAAGATAGCACCGGCTGCCCGTAGTAATTTAGAACAATGTTTTAAATTTACACAATATTTAAATACTTCAAAACTATTGTATTACTAAAAACGTCAATATTCCGAACATATGAAAATAAATCAATATAATAATATTTATTAAATTGTAAAAATAATGTTTGTTCTAAAATTAATTAATACAAAAATATTTCAAATTTAAACAGCTTTATTTCCATAATAATAAATGTTGCTAGAAATAAAACTAAAAATTTTTATTAATAAATATAAATTTGTTCACATTATATAAAAATATATTTGAGTATTCGAAAGTTATTATTGATTATATAATATATACGTTGAGCATATTTGCTAATATAATATGCTTTCAAATTCAGTATCTACATAGTCAATTTTATTATTTTAATTTATAATTATTATTATGTAAATTACTATATATTCATCAGTTCAAATGATTGTCCCAAGTGTATTATTACAAATGTTTTCAATCGGCTAAATTTTTAGTTTGCACTATTCATTTATTTTCATTATAAATAAATAAAAAATTCTATAAGTGTTATTGAAATATATAAAATAAACCCTAATCGGATATGAATCAATATTTTAATATTTTAAATATTTGATGAATGTCAATTTATTTATTCGATAATTTACAGCACTTAGCACATATTTAATTCTATTTATTGAATTTAACTTAAATTATATCATTTTTAAATTGTAGTTTTATATTGAAATTTTTTAATCATTAAATATTATTATACCGTACTAAAAATAGCAAGTATTTATTCAAAATTAATAATTAACTAAAAGAAATTGTCAATAATGAATTTTCTTTTAATTACATATTACGAAAAATGTTTTGTTGCTATGAATTAAAAACATAAATTAAACTAGAACAATAAAATTTATTTTATAATATTTTATAATATAGAAATATAATTGCTTATACTAATACTTAGTTTAAAAAAATGATAAAGGTGAATAATCTAATAAAAAACATTATTTATAATAAATATATTATAATAGTGTAAATAAAAATTTATTTAAAATTGTTTATAATGAATTTTGATTTTTTTTTTGTTTATCGAGAATTTCATCTAAAATTATTAAACAAATATTTAGTAATAAATAATAATAATTTCAATTAAACAAATTTTATTTAATTAAGTAAAAAATTTTGGTGAAGAATTGATAAACAATTTATAAAATTATATTTATGTGTGAAATGTATTAAATTAGTAATAAAAAAAAATTTATAAAAAAGTATAAAAAAAAAATTTTCAAATTTTCAATCCATAAAAATACAAAATAAAATTACAAAATAGCAATTTATCTGTTAGCAATACATCCATTTAATTTTAGCATATTTATACATACAATAAAATATCGCAGTACAATCTATGCATTCATAAGAATAATAACAAATAAATGTACCAACTATTGCACGATTGAAATTGGAAATTAAATTTAGAAACTTTTATTTTTAATATTTTTCAATCAAAAATATTATTAAAACGAGTAAGTTACGTAAAAATTTAAAACATGAAAATTGAACAAAATATATAATAAAAAATGTATTTTTTGGATTAGAACAAATTTATAAATGATATATACATAATAAAAGTGTTAATATATATATTAAAATACAAGTTTATTTCAGTGCATCATGTATTATGTATGCATTTACAATAAACTTAAGTACCAATGAAAGTAGTAGAAAATACGTACTGGTCACTGGTCACAGGTCACAGTTCTAGATTATTATAATCAAACTATAAAAAGTATTATATCATTTTAACTAACTTTACTTATGAAAAATGTGGTTCTAAAAAATGACTCCTAGTTTTCATTAAGAATTTTTAAAAATTCTTTATAAATTAAAAAATAATTTTATTTATAATAAAAATTAATATAATTTTCCATGAATTCGGTAACACTACCAAAATATTTATTAGTTTTGTATAGAAAATATGAAATATTCTTTACCATTTTAATCGCATGGGGTATAGATAAAAAAATTCTGAATAATTTATATTATTATCGAATTTAGTAGAAACTAAATATATCTAATTTTACATCACTTCAATTTATTGAAAATAAATAGGTAGGTTCAATTTTAATTTTGAAATATTGACTTCTAGCAAATCGAATTTAAATAAAAATGTATAGTTCATTTATTATTCAATGAAGTTCATTTAATATTCAAACGTTTATTAAATTATCATCCTCCTTCAAGAAATAGCTTAATTTATTTTTCAGTTTATTCTATCTTGAAAAATTTTTTTATTGGACATTTCTTTTTTTTTAATATACATTGATTTTATTAATTAATTTTTTTATTTACGTTTTATAAATAAATATTGTTTGTAATAAACATGTAATGTATTATTAAAAAACCCTATATATTTTTGTATTTAATATGCAGATTATTAATATTTTGTAATTATTTCATAAGTAGTCAGATAAAAAGCTTTTTTCTAGTAGCTTAGTTCTTTATTCTGAAAATTATCAGATTTTTTATGGGATATCAAATATATTTACGAGTGAAATCAGTTAGTGAAATAAATAAGTTATCAGCAGCTTTATTATAAGTAAATATTTATGTCTCCTCTCATCATAATATATTACAATCTTACTAATATACTAATACATTCTTTTCATATTATACATATCATAATTTTATGTCAGTCAATAATAATGTATCTTATTATCTAGATTTTCTATAATTTTTTTATTTATTATATAATTTAATGAAATTAGTTTTTAATAAACAAAGAATTTCTTAGAATATCTGCTCCCCTACAGCGCGACTCTCGTCACGGCATCATCATTGCCCCGCATCAGTGGCGGCACATCGCTGCCCCTTATCAGCGCGAATCTCCCACTATTACTGCGAGTTCATAACTACGAGTGGGAGAATCAAGCACCAAGCCATCAAGAATACACTTACAGGATTCTTGTCGCTCATATTAAGTGAAGAAACTCTCCTTTATTCATTGTATCATACACTCAATTCTACATCAATAGACCACTGATGATTTATTATATAATTATATTCAATAAAGGGAAAAACACTACGTTTAAAGGCAGTGTTGAATTATTGCATTGTCCCTACCACTTGCCAGCAAACCTCCACCCACCATCTCAATGAAGGCCTTTAGTCTGATCCCAGACAGTATTATTAAAGTAATTAATAAATGTTTAAAAAATTTGAATAAAAATAAAATTTTTAAAACAATATTTAGTTAACTTATATATAATAAATATAATTATAGATTTTACGTTAATAATAAGTTTCAAAATTTAAAGAATGTCAGTACACTTAATTGAACAGATTTAATAAAAATTTTATTAAATATCTATTATAGATTTTATCTTCAAAATAAAAGAAAATTAAAATGATTATTACATGTATTAAAAGTTGTATTAAAAAAATAAAACAGTTGTTTTATCATTTAAATATTTTATACAAATTTTTACAAATTCATTACTATATATTTAACAGGAAATATTATTTAAGTACTGAATAACAATTTATTTATTTTTTATTAAATGTATTATTTAATAAATTACATTCCATATAAAAGTAATTATTTATTATAAAGTATTTTTGTAATTATAATTTATGTAATAATTAATGAAAAAATATACTAAAACGATATTTCTTTAATTTTATGTGAAAAAAAATAATTATCATATTAATATTTCACTCTATCATTGGAATTGTTGATACATTTTCAAACAGTATTTCCCTCTCTTTATATAATTTATAAATAAATTTTTTAGTTTTATTATTTAACATTGAAACATTATCTTGACAATCATCCTTCATTTTTACCATATCACTATAACACCTTTGATAATAAAATACTGCATAAATAAGATCCCAAGCATTGAATTCAGGCCAAAAAACTTTTGTAAAGTAAATGCATGTGTAGCTTGTCTGAAATAATGTAATTATTTGTAAATTAAATTAAATTTAATAAAATATCTACTTATAACGAATTACGTTATAATTCAATAATATACTTGTTTTGGAATAATATCCAATAATATCCAATAAATTAATAATTAATTTAAAGTAAATTTTTAATTTATTTCAAATTAACTAATTTACAACAATTACTAAACTAATTAAATGTAATGAATTTAACGATTATTATATTTCTTTATGTTAGTACTTTAGTAAACAATTTAAACGAAATAAATACTTACTTGCCACATTAGAAAGTCACTAAAACGAACCTCTCCAGAGGTACGAATAAGTAAATCTGGATCTTCTGATTTGTACGTATAAAGGCACTTAGATATAAGATTTTCATCTACATCATCTGTTGTTATATCACCATCTTTCACACTTCTAATAACATCTCTCACTGCATTGGTTATCTCATCTCTTGCTAAAAGTAAAATATGTATTATAAATTTAAAAAGAATTTTAGAATTAGATATAATATATAAATATATAAAAAATATTTTATGTTTAAAATTTTTTAAATATTTTTTAAAATATGTTATTGCAAATATTATTTTTTATTAAAATATCTAATTAATAATCTTAAGATATTTTCATCTAATCAAACTAATAATTCTTTTCAATTTATTAATTATGTTTACTTTTTATAACCTTTAATTAAATTATGACTTACATGAATAAGAAAATGCTACATTTAAAAATGCTCTATTATTATGTTTAGTGATCCGCATTGCTTCAGCCATAAGTATACGGATATCTTGAGGTACAAGAGATAAATTACCTATTACTCTAACACATACACCATATTCCATCATTTTTTCTCTAAAATTAATATGAAAAACGATAATATTTATTAAATATTAGTTAATTTAAATAAAAATGAACTTCTTTACCTTTCATCCAATAATCTTTGAAGTTTCTGTTTAGTAAGGTTCATAAGACAATCTACCTCTTTTTTACTTCGTTTGAAGTTTTCTATACTAAACGCATAAACTGTAACTTCTAGAATACCAAATTCTAGACACCATTGAAAAGTTTCTGCAAGTTTTTCAAAACTGAAAAATTATATTAACAATTAAATCATTAATTTCTTAAATTAATAGATATTTTCTAAAAAATTTCTGTCAATATTTCTAATTCAATTTTAAATTATTTTATTAATAATATTCTATATTAAGAATATTCTATTTTTATTTAATAAATATATATTTATTTATTATTATATATGAGAAGTTTAGATTTGACATTAAAAAATCTATAAAAACACTCCTAAGCATACAATAAAAAAAAGATGAATAATGCAATAAGTATTATTTATATAATGTAAATTACTCAAAATTATAAATGGGTTCAGAATTTGAATGAAATTGTAATAAAATAAATTATTAATTGTAATAAACATAATTATATCATACCCTTTTGTGTGTCCTTCAACTTGTTCAACCTTAGCTTTATTAGCATATCTTCTATTGCCATCCATGATTATGGCTACGTGTTTCGGCACATGGCCTGTTTTCAGCACTTTGATTGCTAGAGTTTGCAGCCAACTCAACGAATTCTTTGCTATCCAAGACATGATCTTTACAAAAAAATCAATCTCTGCTACCTACTTTGGAGAATATATATTTATTTATTCTTATTTTTCTAATTAATTTAAAAAATTACGCTATATTTATTATCTATCATTCATCAATTAAATCAATTTTGGTTACACTTCAAAGGCACCTTTATCAAATTCACATTTTACAGGTACGCTCATGCACACAGAATGTTAAACCTATTTCAATCATTTTGCAATAATTACTTACAAAATAGGCTCTTTTCCCAATTTGCTTAAATTAAACACAGTTTTATATACTAAAAATTATACGTTGTGTTTATATACAAAAAGCACTTGTACTTATTTTAAATAAAATAATATGCATATAGTAACGTTTCCATGAAACTTTTTCAATTACTATTAAAATTTTAAAAAACCGTTAATTACAATCTATTTCCTAAATACAAATAAAAGAATTAAAATACATTAAAATTTTCTATAAAAATTGTTTTTCTTAATATATTTCCAAAAACAATGATCACTTTTAGATTTATAACACAGTTTCAAATTTAATCAAATCACGAGCATTGAAAAATTCTAGTGGTTTTGTTATTGATAGCATAATAAAGTTCAACCTTCATTAATTGTAAGCATAGGCTATACACGCAATAGAAAAAGGAATCTTACAAATTTTTAGAATTTTATTAGCGGTTAGAAAAAAAAAAGTTATTTTGTCTAATTACAATTTAGTACTATTTTCATATTTATTAATGTGATTAATGTAAGAAAAATACTTAATCCTTGACATTAATTGAGCTTCATGGAACTATTTATTAATCTTTCATTTTCATTGCAAATTAGCATTATAAAGGAATATTTTAGATATCTTTTTGCGTTGTAAAAACGGAATAAAACGTAACATTTCGTATTAAGTTAGGCTATCAAGTACTAGAAATGAATTAATGTTAAATAATAAAGTTAATAAATGCGCGATACCCAAAAACTTCTATCTTTTATATTCCTTTAAAAAATATTAATAAAGTATATTGTAATGATTCATTCTTTATTATTATAGGTTCAACTATACAACCTCTTATTAACATTATTAGTAACTACCGTCTTCGATTTATCTACGTAACTTCTGACACGATAAAATTATATTATATTGTCTGTATAAACTCATCTAATAAAAATATCCATATTGTCACGTATACAAATATTAAAATTTCGGATATAAATTGGATGACATGCTTGAGAGGTCATTTATCCTTACCTTTTTACTTTTTTTATATTTCCACGATTATTTCTATATTTCGCACTTGATAGTTACACATGTTCATCTACAATTTCTCTATAAATATTATATGCATTTGCGCACGTGTATATACAAAAAAATATATTCAAATAGTACTTAAAACGAGGTAACGGATATAATTTACTATACAACATTGATTTCTCACGCGGTTTTGTCTTGATATAGATCAAATGGTAGCATGTTTTTAATTATACATCATTTTCTTTCTTCACCCTGCATTATGACGTTATTCCGAACGTAAATATTAAATTATTAATCAGTATCAAACTTTTTAATAACATTTTCTGATAAATATTATTATAACTTGTATATGCAGATTCAATACTAATGATATTAATAAGTTTTACTATATATTTTGAATTTCACTATATATATTTGAAAAATAGTAAATGCTACATAACCTAATTATCCAAGAAATTTTTTGCTCATAACCATGTTAAGATTTATGTAATTATTTTAAATATAAATGTATAGTATTATATACTTGTATTTCATTTATAATTATGGAAATAATATTAAAATTAATTAAAATTAAACATTGAGATAATATAAAATAAATAAACATTAGAAAACTTCTTGAACTGTCTTGGAAAACTGTTTAATTAGAAATCTGTTTAAACTATCAATACTACAGAACGCTGTCTCTGTCAAATAACTTCAGTTTCCTTTAGAATTTCAAAGCAAAAAAATTCTATAAGAAGAGAACAAGAAAATATTGTTACAAAAATTTTTTTTCACAATAACTAATCAAAATAACCTATAAAAAATATTCTACATAACACAATTTTTAATGTAGGTTTCTATTAGAATTTTAGTAACGTACATATGTAGTTAACGACATTGTCCTATCATTGCTGATTATACAATAAGAAAAATCAATTATTATATCTTATTTATTTTAATATAAAATGAAATAAAAATAATACGTAAAAAATTTTAATTGTATTATTAAGAGAAAATAGCAATCAAATATTCATTTACTACAATAGCAAAAGGCTTTTAATTCTCTAATCAGACCTTTTAATAACAAAGACATTACTATTCTCAAATAAATTTGTATATTTCATTTTTATCGTAGTATGAATTAATGTAAATATTGATTTAAAAAATCATTAATTTCTTTTACATTTTAGAAATAGATCCTTTTTAAAAATAATATATTAAACTATTAATCGCATATTTTATTTTATCTTAATATGTATTTATTAAATTTAAAAAATATACCATTTAACTTAATATTAAAAATTAATTTAAAATTTATTAAAATTGTATTTATATTTGTACTACTGTAATCTATTTTATCTGAATAATAATTATTAAATAAAAATAATAATAATTAAAAAGTTATTGATATTAAATTATTTCTAATTAGAATTTGTTTTAGGTAAAATGATAGGAATCAATTATAATCTTAATAAATATTTTTGGTTGACAATTTATCTAATTAAATTTAATTACTATATTAATTATTTTACAAAAATGTATTTACTAGTAAATACTAATAATATTTGCTCTAGAATATTAAGTCCTAACTAGTGTATTATAGTATATATGCAAAGAAAAACTTATAATCAGTCATCAATGATAAATATTATTCTTATGTATTTAGCAAAATTTTGAAAATAGAGAGAATACTGAAGTAAACACGGCTAATGAATGATGTAAATAAATAATGTAAAATTATTTTACTGCAACCGTACCCAAAATCGTGGACTGGCAAACAAGAGCATTCTCGTCAATTTTCATATCTTTATCCTTCATGTCAGGTGTTTGAATGTAATTATAATAAATAAGAGCTATCTTTTAAAACAATTATCTATATATTTATATATAAATAGATGTTTTCATTTTTATGAAATAACTTTAATTAAATTTTGTTACTGAACTAAATGTTATTTTCTATTAACCTAACTGTCTGTTATTGTATATTCATTTTATGAATATATACACATGTTATATTAATATATAATAATTTTAATCAAAGTCAAACGATTTTTTTTTATTTCTGCAAAGAATAAAATTTTACTTTAATTCTAAAAAAAATATATCAATATTATTCAAAGCATATACCAAGGAATCTTTTATTTAAAAAATGCAATTTTATACACTTATTTTTATAACTTTTTGTATTATAGAAAATAATACTCAACTATTAATGAACGTTTATTGTAAAAAGATAAATAAAAAAATTATAATAAAAGATTTTATATAGAAATACACATATAATATATAAACTAACACAGGATGCAAACATTATATTATAAGTAATCAATGGAAAGGGCTTATTTTTTTAAATTATGCAATTTTTTCTCAATGTGTGTCATACATAAATAATTTTTAAAATTATATTGATCCAACAAATTATTTTTCTTTCATATCATATATATTTGTGATTGCAAATATTTACATCAGCATAAAATATATAGTATTAAAAAAAGAAATAATGTTTATAAGCCTAGAATTTTGTTAACAGATTTAAAGAGGATTTGGTTATAGGGAAATATATTTAATCGCTCAGTATTTAATCAAATCTAATTCTTTCAGGGTAACAATTAAAAATATAGCAGAAAATTTTTTCTGGATCTAAACACTATATTAAGGATGACCTGTCGATTATGAAATGACTAGGTACTAAATTTAACTTATTTCAAACTTTTTCAAGGAAAACCGCATTTAAAAAAAAAAGTATGGATCAAATAAAATTAAAATAAGTAATTAAAATAAAATACATACGAGAAAATAAAATACGTATAATATATATCCGTTTAGAATGTGAAAGCAAGAAAGAAAAAATAACCATATAATATTATATAAAGTTAAATTTATAATAAACAAAGGCCTTTCTATAAGATCGGTGTTCCAATGATAAAAATAGGCACAGTTGAATTATGAACTTCCGTTCTTCAACATTAAAAAAAAATTTTGGAGTGCATTCAACTTAGTAAACGAATATAAATAGCTGTAAATTGTAGCAATAAACTAATTTAAATATTGTCCTATTTTTTTACAAAGTTTTATGTTCTATAAAAAGTAACATTCGATTCTGCTCCAGTCATTTGTCAGTGATAATTGAGACAGCAAATATTAATATTCACGATGTCTATTGTAAGATGAAAAGATATACGTAATAAAAATTTTTTTTAAATAGTTATATCGTTTATATATCAATTGTATTTGAATAAAGTAGTAAACAAAGGACTATTTGCACGATATAACATTTAAAAAAAAAATTATGTATGAACATTGTACAAAGAAAAAAATACATAGGCTGCTTATTATGAAATTAATATTTTGCGATCATTTACACTCGAATGCATTCGTATGTAAAATTATAGGAACTTCTTTTAGTACATTAAATTATTACTGTTATAATCTTATTTATTTAACGATTACACAATATATTTATTACTTTCAGTTTTTTATGTTTTTATATAAATTATAGAATAATTAATAGGTATAAATAATTTTAAATAATTTCTAAAACTTTTATTAACTCTTTCATATTATTATTGTATTTGCGATATACATTATTTGTATATTATATATTTTTATTTTTTGTATAATAAATTAAGTACATATATTAAATAGAAAAATATAAATTATTTAAAATATTATTATTACCATTAATGAAGGAGTAGGCCAATAATGGAAAATCTTGATTGGTAATCACATGGGAAATAAAATAAAGAAAAATATACAATTTATAACTAATGTCTCAAATTAGATATTTGCAAATACAAAAATCATAATAACATAAATAAAATGTAACTATTGAAATATATTTTTCAGCACAATGGAAATAGCTAATGAATTTTTTTACCAATTCGCAATTTTTTTTTACAAAATATATTGCATACCTTGGTATATAAAAGCGACCCTGAGTTGGATATTCATATTTTGATTTTCAATTTGTATACATCAAGTTCTATATATATCACTTCTTCGTTCTTTCCTAATATTTGTATTAATTGAATAATATATACAGTATTAAAATTGTATGCATAATTTTATTTTCACATCCGGGCACTCTAAAAAATAATAATAGTTACAATGTGAACAAATTTTAATTAAAAATTGTACATCTTAATATTATTTAAAAATCTTAATTTATCATGAAAAAATTAAATTCTAATAAATAACAGATAAATTTTTTAATATTTAACGCAATTCATGATAATTAATCAATTTAAATCCATAAAAAATATCTTACATTTCTAATAAATATTCAATAAAAAAATTGATAAAAATTAAACTACTTTTTGTCAGTAAATAAAATTAGTAAGAGAAAACATTTCAAGTAAAACATAAATATTTAAAAAATAAATAAATAAATAAAAACATAAAAAGAATAAAAATGGCTTTAACGATGAGTAATGTATTAAATATAATTTTAATAGCAAAAATATATATTCTAAATGTTATTTTTAAATAGAAATCTTAGAAAAAAAAACAAAAAATGTTTACAAAATTTTTTTTGTAAAGTAATTCAATTATTTTATCAAAATTCTAGATAAAAAATATAAAAGTCCTATTATAATTATATATTTTAGTAAATATATTTTATATTATATTTATATATTTTATAAATATTTTAGTTAACAATGCAAATTTGGTATTAAAAAAAAAAATAGAAATATCGTATATTAAACAAAATTAAATTAAGTAAATTACTTGTATGAATAACATTTCAAATATGGATACAAGTATACATTATTATCAATATAAAAAAACTATTTATATATAAATAAAAATAAGATTATTAAATTGATAAAAAGGTTTATAATAATAATCTCAATAATATAATGCGAACAAATGTAATTTACAACAATATTACAATATGAAGTATATTCATATATAAGAATATTAGAATAAATAATTAATTTAGATACTTAAGATAAACATGAAATATGTAAGAAATATTTACATTGGCGTTAATAAGTAATAACAAATATTAATAAGTAAACATTATACGTTTGTTAATAAAATTTTTTAATTTAAGTAAATGCTGTTAGATTTTTAAATATTTAAAACAAAAAAGTAATTATTTAACAAGTTCAATATTGCTTAAACTTGAATAATGATAAATTTAACAATAATATAATGCAATAAAATTTCATTTATATTCTAATAATAAGTGTAGGTAAGAAAGACTTTTCTTATTTATGATGTGTAAATTATTATGCTTGAATAAAATTTCAATTGACCTAAAATCGTCTTTTAAACAAATACTATTTTAAAATGTAATTTTATATTAAATGTATTTTAAATATCATATTTAGATGCAATGGGTATACATATATTTTTAATAACTTAATTTTGGTATCAAATTATTTTGATGTATTTCTAAACAAATTATTTTGATGTATTTCTAATTATTGTATATCTAATTGTTGTATGTCTAATTGATGTATTTCTAAACAAAATATTTTTAATTTATTAGAAACTATATTATAAAAATATTACTAAGAATTACTTACAAATAGAAAAACGTGTAATTAAACTTTCGATCAAATTTTAATTTTTAAAATATATTCATCTGTATATTTTGTTATGATTATAACACATCATAAAGAAAGATAATGAAACGTATTGTTATGAATTTGTTGAATACATTTTGGGTAACATAATAAAATAAACGTTTAATACATTTAAATTCAAAAGTTTTATTTTTGAATATTTTTAAATTAGAGACAAGAAAATAAATTTAATTATCGATAATAATATATTTTGAGCTGTGATCAACTCAATTATAAAATTACTCGATAAATTACTAATATGGTTTATTGAGAGTTATTAAAATAAGTAGTATTTAAATTTCTCTACTATGTTACTAATATAAGCAAATAATAATTTCAAAAACACAACTGCGTATGTTATAAGATTGAATAATTAAATTAGTTGTAGCACAATATAAAGATCAATTTTATTTATTAAAGGGTAATGTTTATGGAAGTAATTACCAATATTCATGAAGTTTTAATTTGAGAAGGCATCAGTACGTATCAAGGGATAGATCTATTATTGGTCAAATGAAGTTATGTATAGTTATACGCACGCACATCATATTTCAGTTTTACCTACCGGACACCAACGGAAAACAACAATCGCTTCGCCGTAGTGCTTTCTTGAGTCTCGTACGCTTTCACCCCACTACTCAACTAACGTCTTCCTTTCCAGCCTTCCTTTCCGTTCTTCCCCTTAAAGAATCTAAAGCGGACGAATACGTTACTGAGTTCTATAACCTCGACATCGTCACGCGCTTTACAAATTAATAATCTTCAAATAGATAAAAAGTATGACTCGATCAATCAGTCGTTAATGTACATAACCTCAAAAATAGTCACAATATAAAAGTGTTTAGTAGGTGGATCATCCTTGGTATGTTTAAAGGAGGGGAAGAAAAAATAGCCAAAAGAACTAGTTCCAGCAGTAAATTTGTCGCGTTGCGCACGCGGATAATACTGTTGTTCTTTATACTTTCGGGTACTGGTTTGTATTCGTTTGCTTGCCTGCTATTTCATTTATAAATTTTATGAACGATACGCTTTTAAGATGATTTTGATATTTATAATAATATAAACAAAGATTAATTATCTGAAAAATTACAAAAAATTTTAATTCATATTCAAAAGATGCTTGTCTTTATACAATGATGAATTCGTTGATAATACTTTTTATATTCTCAATTTTAAATTATTTTAAAACTTTGAAGAGACCTGTTTTCACCCGTAGATAATGAATTGTAATATGATTAAATGGATCGTCATTATTCTATAATGGCGATAATTTTGTACATGGCGTTCCAATTTTCTGCTAGTTCAGCTGTTATATAGTTTTGCAATGCGTATACGTAATATGAATATTGGTGATCACAAGAAATAAACATTTTTGGTTTTTGAGCAATATAAAAACATAATAAAGGTATGAGAAAGTAACCTCAAAAATATATTTTTAAAAATACAAAGTGTATATTACGTACAATTATAAATATTTTTATAGTTAATTTGATTTAACTATTAATTAAGAAGCAACGTTATCAATTACAGAATAATAAAAATTACATAAATAATGCGTCAATTCTAAATTTTTTTAGTAAATTTTTCTTTTTTTTTCAGAGCAAATATACAAAATGTAAAAATATAAGGTTATAAATTAGAGAAACGCGGAAAGCTTTGATATATGTTACGGTCAAGAACGGTATTATTTAACTAAATATATTGAAATTTCTTAATTCTTAATGTTTTATTTATTTGTCTGTACGTTAATGTATAGTCAATTGAATACAATAATTTTATTAAATTGTAACCATAACTTCTATTATTAGAAATATGCGAATAAAATTGTACAAATTTAGAACTTTGTTAATTAATTGTTCGATAATTATATAGCATTTTTACAAAAAATAGAAACAATTTTTAAAATTTAAAATTTTTAATTGAAACACAATAATGTATAATATAATAATTATGTATATAGTTATATATTACTATTGATAAATATAAAAGAAATAACATTGTTTAATTTCATTATACAGAGCATCCACTAACAAAAATCATCTGTTTTGTTAAATTGTACTGTTTATCACTTATAATCATACAAGAAAGATAAGACTTATATAATCTTATATTTGTAGTTTTTATACATTAAAAAATGATAATAAAAAGAAAAAAATTTATATCACTATAATATTTAATTATTTGAATTTTCATTTATATCAATACTCATAAAATATTTATAAATAAATTCGTATCTTTAATGTTTTACATTCAATATAACTTATAATATTATATATGTTATATTTTTGATATTTATATATTTGATTTACAATAGTATTTCTAAATGATATAAGCAAATATTTCAGTAATAAAATATTTTAAATATCAATTGCTAAGATATTTCTATATGAATTATATGTGTATAATACATATGTAAATTTATTTATTTCACAAGTTTTTGTTCTTAATATAATAAATATAAATAAAACATTTGTTTTAATTCTTTTTAAAAAATTTTATTTAAACAAAAATGATTAATTCAATTTGTAGTTAAAAAATGTTAACTCCTTTCAGTAAAACAAAATAATTGTGTTTATTATTTGAAAAGATTTTATAATGTTGAAAATTGGTAATTTATAAATCATATATACAACTTCTTAGTCACAAAAAAACTTAAAACAAATAAAAAATTTATTACTTGCAAATCACTAGTATAGCCTTCTATACTAGTATATTATTTTTAATCAATATTTAAGAAAATCTTATTATTTCAAGAACGAAAAGATTTATAATAAAATTAAGTTACAATAGTTACAATACAAAAGTTTTGTAATTTTTCATCTTCCAATTTATACAATTTATACAATTTATTTTTAAAATATATACAGTATTGATATCATATACAAATATTTAACAACGAATTTTTAATTAAAAACTATTTTAACAAAAAAATTATTTTATCTCATTATCCATTTTATTATTCTTACTTTATAAACATTTTTTTTAATAAAATTACAATAAAATAATAAGAATGTATAAAGAAAAACAAATCAATTTTCTACAGAAGTTTTCGAAATCTGGTAAGTTTCCATTGTGACCGTTTTGACGCATGCGATCTTCGTCAAATCTGCAAGAATACGAGTTAAGCACAGAGAGATAGTGTAGTACTGTGGGGACTTGGTTAGTGAAATGGAACTGTTACGCTTAAAGGATGCTGGCGAGCCGTGATAAAAGAAGTTATTTCACAAACAGAATCGAAACGAAAGGCCGCTAACGGACGTGCGTGCCTTCTTTCTCGTGACAAAGCCATGGAGGCCGACGTGTCGCGGCTTGATTCTAGCTTAGCCGCAGGTAAGTCGTTTCTCGAAGCCATTGCTTGCCTCTGACAAGGGCAAGTACGAAAAATTAATCGAAACATCCGTAGTACATACTCTTTCTCTTTTTCTTTTCCATTCTATTTTATTTACTCCAACCCCTCTCTTCAATCGATATATCTTTTTTTCTCTCTCTCACTTCGATTAATCTGACTCTTTTTAAAATTGATTTCTCTTCCACATCCTTATCACTGTATATGAATCCCTCTCGCTCACTTTCATATAATGTTATATGTTTGTCTTACAGAATTGTACTTTCTCATTGCCAAGTTTCTGACGCAGGGTCCTTGTCGTGCTGCTGCAGATGTAAGTTTTATCGTCTTTATCTTTCAATGACCTTACGATTACCGTTTATGAGTACATTCACAAAATATGACAATGTGACTTGTTTTAGGTGCTGAAAGGGGAATTGGAGCGAGCCAAGGTAAGATCGCAAAATCACAATATGAGTCCGTTGAGTTGATGTTTTCCACATGGTTTGCACGTGATTTCGTACTCTATACGTATATCAAAAAATAGCGTGAGTGTCAGTAACCTCATGTTTGACATATTTTGTCTGTGACCATTTTTAAATAATTGAAAACACAGTTTGCAAATTTCAATTGTAACAGTTCTATATTAATAACTGCCATGTATTTATCATTTATAGCTAACATAAATTTTGTATTCTATGGAATTTATTTTGTGGGTTTTAGATTCTGCCTCAACGATTGGATTGGCTAGGAAATGAGCATAGTCAAAGCTTTGAAGAATTGGTAAGTGTTTTGTATAGAAAATTATCACATGTTCGAAGCAAAATTGAACATTTTAATACAATTTTAATAGATTGATAATCAGAAAAAAACAAGGATGAATTCTCATAAACAAAAACTATATCGATTTCTTTATTTATATTTTATACACCATGGTTCTTTTGTTTTATTTACAGTTAAGAGATAAAAAAATATATTGGTAGGAAGACAGATATTACTGATTGATAGTTTTTTTATAAAATGAACTTCATATTCTACTCAATATATTTTTATATAATTTTTTTGTAATCTTTTTATTAAATTTAAATATCAGGGAAAAATATATAGTGAATACAGAATTGAATTTTTCTTTAAAAAAAATTCTTTTTTAATAGTATATAAATTGATTTTATATTTAAGAATAAAATGTATATATGTATGTACATTCAATTTAAACTTTAAATATCAATGTTTCAATTTATAAGGTTCTTTAAAATTATAAACATACACATATATATATATATATATATATAAGTATATAAGTATATAAAATATAAAAGAAAGAATTTGAAACTTCCATTTATTTTATATATAATAATAATTACATTCTTATACAATTATTTTATTATGAAGTTAAAAATCGAATTGTAGAAATTAGAATATTGAACTTTGTATCTCAAGTGTAAATGAGATAACACTTAATTCGCCACAACCTTTAGAAAAAAAAGAGAGGCAGAGGATACTGGGAATTTTTTACCCATGTAAAAAGAAGAGAAGAATCAGGTGATAAGCTAATAGAGATTCATACAACTTATCCCGTTGATCAGTGACATGATTAATATTTGAACCTGTATGTAATTTTGTTCATGTAGAACGTACTGTTATATATTCAAACGTATTTCTAGCTAAAATATACCTGATTATAAATGGAACTACTTTATAGTTTTTCTAAAACAGCATATTAATTACTCTTGACATAATTTATACAATCTAAAATAAAAAATTCTTTTTAATTTAAACACTCATTCAAATTATGTAGAATCGATTAATAAATAATTAGTTAATGATTGTCAATTATTTCTTAAGAAACAAATTTTTAATTTTAAAAAAGGGACTTTTAATAATTAGAAACAAATTATTAAAAAAAAGTCAATTTAAATGAGTTTAAATTTATTTTAAATCATAATATACTATTTTCCGTTATTTTACAATTATTACATGCATTTTATAAAGAAATTAAATAATTATTATATCAAAAGCAATCTCAAAGTAAGATTAAATGATTAAATACTAACTATAATATCAAATATATTAAATAGAATAAAAAATAAAACTTTGAAAAATTAGTATTATCATTGAAATGTAGAAAAAAATATTCCTCTAAATTCAAAATTAATTAAGTATAAATAAATTAATTCTTTTATAAATAATTATAATATTAAATTTATTGTATATAATTTATAAATTATGAATTTCATAAATTTTTTATTACATCCAATAACAGAAACAAAATTGTTTCTCAAAATCGATAAGATTTAGATTTTTTTCCTCTAATAAATAAATCATTTAAAAATACTATTTTCTTTTTATATAATTAGAATAGACTTATAATTTCAATATTTTGTATGTATTTTAAAATATTTAATTTTAATATTTTAGGAAACAAAGTATTCTCATATTGGTGTAAATCATTTACTTCAAATATGTTCACGAATTGGACCAGTTTTAGAAAAGGAAGTGCCACCATGTGTTATTGGCGCTATTTCGTTACTTGGTGCTGGAAAGCAATCCCTATTACGTACAAAAGAAGGTAAAAATAACTCTACAGTCATAATTATTTTTAATTATTGATTTCAATTACTATTAATTTCAATGTTTCCTCTTTTTTTCAAGATATGTTACGTTTCTTTCGCAATGTTACGGGCTATTCTGGAAGGTTTGGAGGAAAGCCCTTTATGAATCCACCTGGTGTTTATCCAGTACTCAATATAGGTAATTTGTTATCAATTTAAGCTATTATTTAATGCATTTATTAGTTATAGTTTAAAAATTATAAGTATTAAAAGTTAAATGTATAATATGAATAATGCTATGAAATAGAAAATAAAATATCCTAATTCTATTTTAGTAAAAGTACTTCAAGGTAGAGAAAATTCTGGTCCTTTATGCAGACGCGAAGCTGTACCAACATCTTTTTACAGCAAGCTACAATTATATCGTCATACTCTAGGACATCTATCGGCCGTTTATTGCGTTCTATATGATCGAACTGGAAAATACATTATCACTGGGGCTGATGATTTACTAGTCAAAGTATGGAGTTCAACGGATGGACGATTACTTGCTACTTTTCGGGGCGCATCTTCGGAAATAATGGATATAGCTGTTAACTTCGATAATACATTGCTTGCCGCCGGAAGTTTGGATCGCATTTTAAGAGTCTGGTGTTTTCAAACAATGTCGCCAGTAAATATCATACTTTTATATTAAAAAGATTTTATTTTATTTTATGATTTATATTTATCTATTCTCTTTAGTTTAATATAGATGTATTTTTAAATATTATAGTTTTTTAGTTACATATAATTATTCAAGCATGTACATTTAGATATTTAGTACTTATTAATTTTGTTAGTATAGATACATTTAATATATTATTTTATTTAACAGAATAATTATTATACATACATGTGTCTGAATTTTCTATAATTATATTTAAAACTTTTATCCTATTTATTCTGTTTAAAATTATTCTAAAGCAGATAATCATTAAAATACAATTTTTAGATTGCTGTTTTATCAGGACATTCGGGTATGATAACATCTGTAAAGTTTTGTCCTATCTCTTGTAGTGGCTTCAATTATTTAGTTTCGACGAGTAGTGATGGTTCAGTTGCATTTTGGTCACATACAAAGCAAGACAATGAGAGGACAGTGTTTCAGTAAGTAATAAATATTTATATTATTTTTAGTTTAGCTTATGAGATACTCTAATTCAATTATTATGAACTAGATTCACAGACAAAAATTTTTTATTAATGACTTATCAAAAAACAACAGTTAAGTATAATTAACTATTGTAAATCTAAACATTGTAATTTAGATATTAAGTGTAACTGAATCTATTTATATAAATGCTTGTTAGATAACAATATTTTTATTTTTTTAGACCAAAGCCAATTCAATATCATGAAAAAATGCGACCAGGTCAAGCACAAATGATCTGTGCTTCATTCAGTCCAGGTGGTGCTTTTATGGCAGCCGGATCTGCTGACCATCATGTACGGGTTTATACAATGTTAGGTGAGGAGGGACCAAGACGTGTTCTTGAAGTAGAAGCTCATTCTGATACGGTCGATAGCATTCAATGGGCACATAGTGGTCTCAAATTCATTTCGGGTTCGAAAGATGGTACTGCTAATGTATGGAAATTTGAACAACAACAATGGCAACACAAGAGATTATTAATGACGACTAAACTCTCTGGGTACAATAACTGCTTCATTCACTAAATCTATCGATAATTTATAAATAATAATAACACACAAAGTAAATTTTCTTAAAATAAAAATTAGTCAAGTGCGCTCATTATTAGTTAGATGAATAAAAAATATTAATATAATCATATTAACTTGTTTATATTAAAAAAGGAATCATTTAGATATATTTCTAATAATACTATTTTAAAGTAAAATTAGAATTTTTTATTTAAGTATATAATGAATATTAATAAAAGTTCTATAAATTGTTTAAAAGTAAATTATTCAATATTAGATATTGTAAAAAATTTTTAATATTTTAATGATAGAATAATAAGAAGAATGATAGAATTTTGTTTTCAAATTTTTGATTGCTTATATTTTACTAAAAAGTAGCATATTTTATCTAATAAATACATTGAAATAAATAACCATAATGTATCGAAATTAGTTTAATTATATATAATTTATTTGTAAAAAATATAAATAAACTATTTTCAATATACATGCTAATAAAGAAAAATATATAAAATAATTATAACATTGTGTATGCAGCGAACCAGAGTCAGAAGATGATTCAAATAAAAAAACAAAAGTAACAATGGTGTGCTGGGATGTTAGTGATAATTGGGTGGTAACAGCTGTCAATGACAGTTCTTTGAAAGTATGGAATGCTAAAACAGCAGAATTAGTGAAAGTTTTACGTGCTCATAAAGATGAAGTGTTTGTTCTTGAATCACATCCAATAGATCCAAAAATAATCTTAAGTGCTGGACACGATGGACAATTAATAATCTGGGATGTACTCAATATAGAGCCAATAGCCTGTTTTCAAAATTTTATTGAAGGACAGGGTAATGGCGCGGTGTTTGATGCTAAATGGTCACCTGATGGTACTATGCTTGCAGCTACAGATTCCCATGGTCATTTAATGATGTATGGTTTCGGATCTGGAGTTGAAAAATTAAAAATAGTAAGTTCCTTTAATTTACAATAATGTAATGGATTTACTTCTTATATTTATTATTTTAAAGAAAACTTTGTAGAAGACGCTTAAAAAATAAACATATATAAAGCAATATTATTCTAATAGCATTTGAAATAAAAATAAAAATAAATTTTATTAATACTTTCAAATTATTATAAAATTATTGAAAAAAATTGAACAGAGGATATTATTATAATTTTGTTATATTCAAAATTAATATTATAATATGTAAATCACTTAAAATTTGACAATTAGAACTTTAATGGTAATGAAATCTAATCACTATAAATAAAAGAACCGAAGATATATTTTAAAATAATAAAAATGATTTAAACAATTTTAGAGAAATAATTATTGATTAAATTATTATTTTAGGTGCCAAAAGAATTATTTTTTCACACTGATTATCGTCCATTAATCAGAGATGCCAATAATTATGTATTAGATGAGCAAACGCAAACAGCTCCACACTTAATGCCACCACCATTTCTTGTAGATGTAGATGGAAATCCATATCCTCCGATATTACAAAGACTAGTTCCAGGAAGAGAAAATTGTAGGGGTGAGCAGTTAGTTCCAAATATCGCTGTTGGAGCAAGTGGTAAACATATTAATCAATTTCATTACAAAAAGTATATATTTTTATAATTATAATTGTTAAAATAATATAAAAAATATTGATTTTGGCTATCTTTGTAAAAAAAAAATACAAAATTTTATAGAATTTTACGATATTGTATTCGATTTGAAAATTAATTTTCTATACCTTTAAAAGAAAAAAAGATTTATAATAAAATATCAACTGAAAGTTCATATTTTGAAAAAAGTGTACATACATTATTTTATAAATTTTTCTGATAATTGTTAATATCTTATTACACCTAATGAAAAGATTATTTCGTATTAAAAAATTAACCGTTTCATCTACCTAATTTACGAAAAATTAATTTTATGCATATTATAGGTCAGCAAGAGGTCATTGAGGGTCTACCTGAACAAGAACAACCACGTTCAAATATCGACCGGTTAATAGAGGCGTTAGCTCAACGTCAAATTATGAATGTCGAAGGTGTACCGATTAATGAAGAAGAAGATAATAATGTTCTACAAAATGAGGATCAGCATCAAGTTCGGCAAATTGCTAGTCCGCGTGGTGGCAGATCTGGTTTACGTCGTGTTGGAGACGTTGAAGGTGTTCGTCAAAGTAGCGGTAACTGGCAACGTGATAATACAACACCCTGGAATAAGCCAATGCTTGCAAGACCTCTTAATCCTGCTATCCTTGATACTCAATATAAACAAACGTAAGTTATATTTTTTTTAAATGAGCATGCCTGTATATAAAAATATTAATTTATAAATTTATAAATTTAACTTCTGATTAAAATTTTAAACTGCTAAGGATTTTGTTTAAATATGAAACTTATATAAAATAAAGTAATAAAGATTTTTTTAAAATTAATTTATGAAAATATAATGTAATGTTGATATCACGTTTTAATAGAAATGCAATGGCTGAAATGGAGTTAGAATATTGGAGACGTGAAATGCGCAGAAGGCCTCAAGTGATCTCAAATACAACAATTACGTCAGAACAAAACAGATTTTTAATTCATGGTAGAAGGAATCGAACTACTAGACATAGCTACAGGACAAGGGCAACTAGAGGAGAGGAGCAAGAAGATGAAGAATTTGAAGTAAGTAAACATTTTAATCTATTAAAATGTAAATTGGTTTTATTTTATTTTTCAATTATTTTAAAGTTCGTTATTAAAATATTCATTTTATTATGACATACAATTTACTATAATATGTACTAACATAACATTGCCAGATAAATATTATGTTACTTAATAAAATATTCACTTTCAGAATCCAGAGAATTCTGGAAGTTCAGGAAGTAGCAATGAATCTTCTTCTAATGAGGAAGAATTGTGTTCAGATAGTTCGACTTCAGATACTAGTAGTGAATATTCAGATTGGATAGCAGATCATGGCGTAAATTTAGAACCACCAAAGCGAAGTAAAAGGAAACCTGTACAAAAACGAGCAATTACTCCACCTAGTGATGCAGATAGAAGAAGAAGTCAACGACCAAAGAAGAAGGTAAGCTATATATATATATATAATAAGTAAAAAAATTAATTGAAATAAGAAACATATTTTGTATTTTTATTATGTTATAATATTGTTTTAAAAGTGTCTATATAAATTCAATTTTAATAATATTTTTGAAAATACAGTCTCGGCTATTTTTTGTTTATTGTTTAATAAATTAAATATTATTATTAATTCATTTAATAACCATATATTTTAATAAAAAGTAATATTTTTATAAGTATTTTATTTACAATTTTTTCAATTTTGATAGACGATACCGATAGCAGAGCCAAGTTCTGTAACCGAAGTACCTGACATTTACCGTCCACCTGAATGGCTTAGTGAAGTAATTCCAAGGAAAGCACCTTATTATCCTCAAATGGGAGACGAAATTGTATATTTTCGTCAGGGGCACAAAAGATATTTGGATGCCGTTAAAACCAAAAAAATTTACGATGTCAGCCGTTCATTTGAACCTTGGACTAAATTAGATCTTAAAGTAAATATAAATATAAATAATAAATTTTTAAACAAATTTATCTTTTATATGTGCACTAATAAATATTTTTAAAAACCTCAGTATGTAATTTATAATTTATTTCAATATTTAGGCCCAAGAATTTGTAAAAGTAATAGGAATTAAGTACGAAATTCGCCCTCCTCGTTTGTGTTGTCTGAAATTAGCCCAAATGAATGAAGAAGGTTTATTAACAGGAATAACATTTACGATTAAGTACCACGATATTCCGGATGTGCTCGACTTTCTCGTTCTGCGACAGGCATTTGATAATGCACTCGAAAGAAGTTGGTCAGAAGGTAATAGATTTCGTTGCATGATAGATGATGGTTGGTGGACTGGTCAAATAATATCGGTGCAGCCACTTTCTGAAGAATTCTCTGATTCATACTTCATGTGTTTCAATATCAGATGGGATAGTGGGGAAACAGAGTTTATGAGTCCATGGGATCTTGAGCCCATCGATGAACAAAGTAAGTACCTGATTTAATATTTTTATTCAATTATATACAATTAAAATAAAATGAAAAAAATTCAAAACAATTTTAGAAGTAATTTTAAGGGTTAAAAAAATATAAGTAACAATTTTGTTATAAATTCTCAACGAATAAAATAATATTACCATCTATTTAATAATAAGTACAATATAAACTAACGTAAATAAAAATAACTGAAACTCATAATATTTATATAATATTTTGTTTATCGTTTGATATTGAAAATGTTCGAAACCGATAATACAATAATAAATGTATGTAAATTTATGTTTATATTATAGGTAAATAATTATATATAAAATATTATACATTTACTAATCTTTATGTAAATTAAAAAATTTAATGGCTCAATGCGAAAAATAAATCAATATCTAATTAATAAAAAAATTAAATTGACACAAGATTAATTTAAATATATTATAAGTATATGCATTCCAATGTTTTTAACATTTTTAGTACTATATTTTAATTAACATTAATTTAAAAATTAATTGATATAACTATAATAAAGCCATCATTTAACAGCTTTTTTTTTATTTATGTACATTTTAATTCAGTATTAGCTAAAATAAATATTTTATTTTTAGAGATCTTATAATATGTACAATACAAGTATGAAAAAAATAATTACTTTAAATAATATGCTTGTATTATTTCTGTACATTAGAATTGCTATAAATAAGGATTTCTAAATTATGTTTCTGATTGTGAATTTGTATTATGCAATTAAATTATTTTGTTATTATATTCACTATACAATTTGTTTATAATTTTTTTAGGATTACCAACAGAAGTAGGTGGTGCTGTGCCAGTGCTTGCAGAGGAGATCCAAGAAACTTTGTATCAACCTCAACCAGAAGAATGGCCAATGGGTGATCGAGAAGCTGCATGTCGACGTATCATACGTGGTCTTGATCAAGTTATGACTTTATCAATAGCTGAACCTTTTATAGCTCCCGTTGACCTCAATATATATCCATTATACGCATACGTTGTAGAATATCCAATAGATTTATCAACTATAAAAGCTCGTTTCGAAAATTTTTTTTACCGACGAATTACTTCGGCTCAATTTGATGTTAGATATCTTGCAACAAATGCAGAAAAATTCAATGAACGGCATAGTCAAATTGTTAAACAGGCGAGATTAATTACGGATATTTGTTTACGAATTATTAAGTAAGTATGAACAAACATTTCATTTTGTTTAAAAGACAATTGCTCAAAGATTATAATTTATGACTTTAAATATATTTATACAACAAAACTTACTATAGTATTTTGAATAAAATACAATATATTTTCATAAAAAATTTTAGTTCTTTATATTAGTACTCTTTTACAAATAATAAGTAATCTACTTATTAAAAATGATATTTAAATTAAATAATTATATAAACCTTGCAGAGATACTACTGATCATGATGTTACAACATTGTATCATGAATTAGCCGATGCTTATCATTCTTCGGATTCTGAAGTTGACATTGAAGATGATATCAACAGACCATCAACAAGCTCTCAAAGGCCCACACGAGCCATGACAAATCGACATTTAAATACACAAAATGTTAATAAAGATTGGAAAGTAGCTTGTCGACAACTTTTAGATACACTATGGCAGTGTGAAGATTCCATTCCATTTAGGTAATATTCAGTATGAATTATATTTTAGACAATACTTATTTAAATATATTTAAAATAATATTTGTCTATCAAATTTACATTTTATATTATAAATCAATTTTAAATCTTTAATTATAGGCAACCTGTAGATCGTTTAGAGAATCCAGACTATCATCTTGTAATTGATACACCAATGGATTTGCGAACAGTAAAGGAAGATCTACTAGGAGGAAATTATGAATCTCCTGCAGAATTTGCTAAAGACGTAAAATTAATATTTACAAATAGTAAAAACTACAATACGAATACGCGATCAAAGGTAATATTAAAATTTCTAAAATATACAATAGACATTATTTTTATAAAATATTAATCATTTTAAAATTAAAATATAATTTATATTATAAATCAGTTTAAGTAATAATTAATATTATTATCAATTTAAAAAAATGTTTATAAAAATTTTCTTAATATATGTAAATCTTTTCTGATTCATCAACTATTTTGATATTGTTTTATAGTCCTATTTGAAAAAAGAATATTATTATTGCTCTAATTTATCTGTACATTAGATATTGATCTATTTTAATAAAAAATTTGTACAAAAATGTTAATATATTAAAATGTCTATTTATTTTAACACAATTACCATACCAATTTCAAATTTAACATTTAGTTTGAATAAGAATATATAAATCTTAAATTTATTTTGTCTTATCTTAAATATTTGTTTCTTATTCATTATATAGCATTCGTCTACTATTCATATATATATATTAAAATATTTTTACCACATTTCAATATAAATAAAAAATTAATTTGCAGATTTATTCCATGACGGTTCGGTTATCAGCCATGTTTGATGAACTAATGCGTAAAATCATAAATAGATGGAAATCTGCTATAAGAATAAATGATAATAAAAAGACAAATAAAAATAAAAAAGGTTCTCCTATAAAGACTCAACTGATGAATGGAGCTGGTAAGAAAAGTTAAGAAATATAAATTAATAAGGTATTTGTATATTATTATATAAGTATATTTATTATGTATAAGGTCCATCTAAAAAAAAAACAGTTAGTAGTGATGATGACGAAGATGATGAAATTGAAGATGTACCTATAGACAATGACGATGACGACGACGATGATGACCATTTTGAAGATTTTAAACCATCAAAAAGGCCAACGCGACATTTAAATCATGACGTAGCGGGTAGAGTACTAAAGTTTAATTCAATTATTATAATACTAAATTTAATATATATTTCATTATATTTATAGTATAAGCTCACTAAAAAGAAAATAATTTTTAATATCTTAGGTCCATCTACTCTTATGAATGGTCACTCCAACCGTCTGGCAGAATCATCTCGACCTTCTCTACGTCCTCGTAATGTATCTGCCAAGCGACAAGTTACACATGTTAATTTCGATGATGAGGATGATGATGAGAGCGATGATTCTAGTCCAAGTTTGAGCGAGTCGAGCGACGATAGTGCACCTAAACGACGCACACGTTCGAGAAAGCCAATTATTTCTGTGATAAACGGTCATGTTGACAGTGACTCTGATGAGATATATGAACCAACCTCGAAAGGTAAACAAACACGTAACAACAGAGCAAAAAATATGAAAAAGACAAGACATAACAGAACTACAGAAAAGCACTATCTCGTGGATAATGATGATGAAGACGAGGAAATTTCTTGCCAGAGTGATAATAGTGAAGAAATTGGTCGTAATAGCAAAAGAAAACAGAAATTATCTATTGTTAAGAACAACATACAAGATACTAGTAGTGATGAAGAGGAAAATACCGTTACAATAATTAAAGAAAATAACCAATCACAAGACGACGAAAAAGAAGAGATCAACGAAAATATAAATGTCAGAAAAAACCAACTTGAAGAAGATAAAGATGAAGAAGAAGAAGAGGAGGAAAAAGATGACAATAATCATAAAAACGTAGAAAGCGATAATGTCGCCGATATCGTTGAAGACAATTTAATGAAGCAAAATCAAGATTTTAGTCATGTCAATCCCTCACGTACAGTAAATCAACAACTCCGAAAGCTCCGCGCTTCCCGTGATTCGGAAAGCAGTATTACTGCTAACAATAAGCATCATCTACGTCGTGCGGGAACCAAACGCATGCATTACAATGAAGACACAGATGAAGAAGACGACGAAGACGGTTATGATTCAGGTGTACCAATTACAAAAACACGCAGAAGAACGGTTAAGCGACCATATTATGGTGAAGCTAGTGATGAGGAAAGCTGTAGCCAACCAGGTTTAGGAGGGAGCAGTAGAGAACAGGATATGAGATTAGGAATCAGTGTGAGCAGCAGAGGTCGTGTGAGAAAAATGACACCTAAAGCAATGTCTGCATTGAGATAAAAATGACAAAATAATAGTAGTAATGTTTGATAGGCTATTTATAATTGTTTGAATAAAAGATGGAGAAACATGGCAAATTATTCTAGGACATTCTTGCTAATAGCATTGAACTCACGACTTTTATCACTTTTGCTTTTTGTCAAGATAGTGCAGTGTACACAAATATGGACATTTCAACATGAGTAAGGTTTGAGCTGAGACGTATAATTAATAATTGTATATAGGCTTCCGACGGTTACATGAAAATATTTTACATCGATAAACGTTTCTCTTTTATCAGCATTCGAATTATCATTAATATTATATCATTTTTTGTAGATGCACAGACAGTTAAATTTTCTGTTACTTGACCTTATTTAAAAGAAAACTATTTACTGTAATAAAAGCTTATGACATTACATAAAAATTAAGTAAGTTGAAATATTATAATACTTTTATTTTTCTATTTATGATTTTAAATCTTGTAGGCGAGAAACAGAAAATTAAATTATTCTTGTGCATTAATAATTAAAATATTTAAAAAATTGTAATATACAAATTATTCATTATAAACCGAATGCTGATAAAACAAAAATCATTCTCGCTGTCATAATTGAAATTATATGTTTTAATGAGAAGTTATTGAATGTTTTTAGATTTCAAGTAATGAAATAAAAAGAATGCTATTGTTTATATTTTTGGAAGAATTTGATTTTGATAAATTAAAAAAGAGATATTTTTAATATGGTCATAAAACAAGTATATATTTTCAAATATATTTAAAAGCAAATGTTATGAAAATATATAACAAGTTTTAGTAAAAGAAATTTATATACAGATAATATTAAAAATTATTAACGTTAATTATGTAATTTTTACTTTTCTATGGTTTAAGCTCATTCTTTGAAAAATTTTCCCTTGGTATGTTAAAATACCTTATTTTTAAAATACTTGTTTAAAAATTGATTGTTTACATAAGTAGAAATTACTTATATATCAATTTCAATTGTCATCCAAAAATGTAAAATCGAAAAAGTAAGTGTATATAAAAATAAAAAGTGTTGTTTGAAATAGCATTTTTTGTTGTTGTTTGATATTTAAAAACATTCCCCAAAATTTTATAAAAATCTATTCCACATATAATTACTATGATTCAATTATATTTCATAGTAATACAGTAAATCATTTTATTGAATTAAAAATTATAATTCATGATTTGTGGTAACCTTATTTATAATTTATTACTTCTCTACCAAATATCTGCAATTGTTTACAAATCAAAATATCTTACTACTTATAATTTAAAATTATCAATTTTATAAGTAACTATTTATTTTTATATGAAACACTGTATAATTTATTCTTCATTTTTTCGAAAAAGTAGTCAGTTTATTAACAGGTTTAGTGTGGTTATTACATTAAGCAAATTCTTTTTATTTATTTTTTAAATAAATGAAAATGAATTCTCGATTGTATAATCTATTATTAATATTTTTGTCTATATTGAAAACAAATTACCTGTAATAAAATAGTTTTGAATGTTTAATTTTAGATTTATAGAATTACTCTTTTACTTATACCACATCTAATCTGTTAATTTTAAAATACAGAAGCAACATGATTCTGATTAATCACCTACATGGCCTTTTTCATTTTCACGTTTTATACTGAAATCGAAAAGCGATATTTATTTTACCAAATTTTTCTATCTGTATTATAATTTTAATCTTTATAATGTAAATATTTTATAAGTTATAGTTGGGTATAAAACTTAGTATTAAACGTTTTAGATTATGAAATAGTCGCTCTAAAATGTTAACATTGTTTTTTGTAATTGAGAATAATTATTATTAAATAACATACATTTAAAGTAATAAATGATGATCATGATTTTGGATTATATAATTTTTTAAAATTTGGGTAAATTATTAAATATGTTCATTTTTATTACATTTGGCTATAAATTATTAAAAAATAAAAGGTATTATTCAGTATATGTTGTATATAATAATTTAAGCGGTATGCAATCATTTGTAACTTTTAAATTGATATTTATTTTTCATTTATACTTTTTTATTATTATATACATTTATGCAATCAGTTATTTATGATAAAATGATAAATTATTTAAGTAATTTACTTATATTTGGAATCTATTAACACTTTATATACATTTAATACGTGTGTATAGTCAAATGAAAGGATAGTAATAGATGATAATTTAATAGAATAAGTAAGAAATTATAATGGCATTCGAATTTAGAATATAAAAATATTTGAATCAAACAGCCTATTATGTACATATACAATTATATTATTAATCTTAACAGTAAATGCTATCTATTATATTTAAAAATTTTAGATTAAAATTTTTTAAGTCGCATTTTTATTTTAATTATAAGAAATAATATATTAACTTTTGTATTCTAATTTCTTGTTAAAATCAAATTTTATTTTGGTTATAGCAAAATTTTATATTTATTACTAGTTCCAATTATTTAATTATTCATTACAAATTAAAAAACATTTTACAATATTGATTTACTATACTATTAAAAACTAATTGAGATTTCTATCATTACGTAAAATAAATTTCATTAATCTAACGAATTAAAGATCTTTTGGAAGTTGTCAATGCTTTTTATCGTTATGCTGTCAACTAAAGTTTGCTATTAATCCAAAAATTAAGAAAAAAATCCGATTTGGCTACTTTATTCAAATAATTTTTTAGACAATCAGAATTAAGTTGTACTTATTTAAATATGTATGTCTTCTCTATTAAACTTCTTATTTGAGAATGCTTCGGTAACTATACTCCCAACTATCCAGTGAATTATGACCTGAGAATATGTAGATAACTATTAGAAGGTATGCTCTGTAAAGTAGCATTAGCCCCATGGATAATGCCTGTCAGGCTTTACTTAGTTTTCTTTTCCATTCCTTAATATACAGTAAGTTACATTCTAATATTATTTTATGTAGCCGCTTATGCCGCTTATTACGCTTATTATTAGGATGTATGTGACTACAAACCTTTTTAATATCAAAATGTTTTATATCAGTTCTTTTCGTACTCTAAAGATTACTATATTTGGTAAAAAATTTAATGTACTGTACATCATATCCATTTAAAAGTTCGTTTTTTCAGTTCCATTTGTTATCATTTGTATTTATATCAGATTCTCAGAAATAAATTAAATAGAACTTCAAAGATTTCTATATAATTCTTAAGAGTTCTTAAATAACTAAATATTGAAACCCATAAATAATATAATTTCTACTGCCATATTGATTGAATCTAATTTCGATTTAGCCCAATTTTCTATACATATAAATCGTTAAAAAATTTAACATCTTTTCCATTTTCACAAAGATCTCGTAAATAATGCGCTAACTTGAGTTTTATTTCAATGCTTTGTTAAAGAAATTCATGTTTTTATTGATAATATTTCTTTACTATCTGTAGTCTTCTGCATAAATGTTTTCTCATGCGATTTCTGTTCGATTTTTTCACTATATTAATCAATTATATATAACTTTGTTATCAATATATCTGTTATCAGTCACTCCACGTACCAATTTAAAAATCTTCTGTTACTTCCAAATAAAAAAACGTGTCCTATCGATTACTTCAGAAAGCTTTATGGCATTAAGTTTGGATATTACTTGTCTATTAACAAATTATAATTTTTTATTATAAACATTTTATTCGAATATGTAATTAAAATTCAAGTGGATAAGAAGTATATAAATTTTTTCTTTTATATCTAAAAATCGAATGTTCATAATTATAAATTCTTACTTTTATAAGTATTTAATAGAGTTCAATTTAAGTTGACATAATAATTAATATATTATCGATATGTATAATTTAAAGATTTTGTATATGTTTTAACTTAAAAAGCCTCGACATGATAGTATAAAATTATTACACATTTCAAAAATAAATCTCAATATTTTTAATCTTCTACATTAATAATATATTACTAAAAAGAAATATCCGATAAATTAGTCGAATTGCGTTACTTAATTATTTTTGTTGCTGTAGTCAGTTTTTGTTATTTTTAAAGAATATATTTAAAAAATGATATTATTTAATAAGTAGTAATGACAATGACTTTTCTTTATTGTTTAGTAAGAATATGATATAGATATCTAAACTTAAATTTTTAATTTTATAATTTATAGCAAAAGTAGTTTTTTAATTTTCACAATATTCAAAAAGTTGCATATTAAATTAATAAGGGATTAATATCTGTAATAAAAATGTAAGTAGTTAAGATACTAGTAAAAATGTATATACAAATAATAATATATATGTGTGCATGTATGTATTATATGAATAAATGGTAAACAGAATCGATGTACGCGCGCGCGTGTTCTCTATGAATTTGTAAGTGCGCATAAATATGAATTTTAATGAACTATTTTATTTTTGATAAAAAAAACTTTCTTTAACATTTAAAAACAGTAAAATAATATAATCGATGTAAGCATCGATTTATACTTTCTTTGAATACAGTACACGGTGGAAGTGAGTACGTAAGCATTAATTTTTGTTACATTATGGATTATTACAGAGCTTGTAAATAGTTTAAAATCAACATAAGATTAAGAATAAAGTAAGTTGTAATTTGTTAAAAACTTATATAATCAGTTGCTTTGATGAAATACTGTTATAAAACGTTATATACAATATGTCAATTGCTTGTTAAAGCGATACATTTTTGTATTTTAACCGAAAGAAATTTTTTTAATATACAAAAAAGAAGATAATGCTCAACATAAACGAGACAATCTCAAATTCATGGACGCAGTAATTTTTTCATAGTTTTTTAAATAAATACTGAAAAAAGAGAAACTATAGATACTGATGTTTTCAGTAGTATATAGTTGTATTGATCTATAGTTTTCTTTGATATTTAAAAGTAACTTTTTATCTATAAAATAGGAAAATGATCATTAGAATATTTTCTTTTTTTACTTATCTGATATATTAAAGATTTATAAGTTTCTGTCCTCGAAAAATAATTGTACTAAATTTATATCTACATAAACGAACAATAATTTCTTGGCATCAAGTACATGACAGTGCCTTTAATTGTCATTCAAAATGCGATACCAGCCATTAATGTATAATATATATAAACAATATGAAAATTTATACAAATTTCTTACTTAACGGCTGTTATGGACTGCTTGATGTAATAGAATGGAATAGAAGTTATTAATTTATACATTACTATTTCTTACAGTATAAATTAAAAACCTTTGTTTATAGTCAAACAAAATTAATCAAAACCATTGATGAAGATTAAATTGTAAGATTTTTTAAAATTATTTTTAATATGACCGCTAATTAGTTAA